TGTTTAGTAAAGTCATTTTACTCCACTAAGCCCCTTTTTCCCCACAGACCCCTTCCATAAACCCATCCTTTTCTTCTTACTGGGAGGTTGAGCAGATAAAGCTCCAAGTACTGTTCTATTTTTTCCCCTTTTTTGCTCCTTTCTCTCTCAGCCACTCCTGGAAATAATAAAGGGGAGGATGGGCAGGAAGGCTCCCCCCTCCCCCAGACTTTCTTACTGTGACTTCTTTTCCAGCTGCCAATCACCCACAAAGAAGGCAGCCCATTGCAGCCTCTCCTGTCATTGGTTGCGGGTGCTGTGAGCCTCTGACCAGTCTGTGTGAGTGACACAAGAGATCTTTGAAGATGTTATTAAAGCACTGGTCCAGCAACAATAAAACCAAGCAGGTGCACCCTTCTCGCACAGCTTGATGTCTACTTCTTTTGAAACTTTTCACTGGGGGAACAGGACAGTCTTCCAGATAGAAGCTGAGCATTCTTCACTCCGATTTGTTACAGTATTTCTGGATGATAACATCTATTGTGTTAACTATGATTCATGCAGCCAACGAAAACCCTCCTGAATTTCAAATATATATATATGGTATGATTATTGAGCACCTGCCCTTTTCCTGTCAGCTTTGGTCTTTTCAAGGATGGAGATTGGCTGAAATAATTCTAATAACAACACTCAAAGTAAAAATCTGTGCCTGATTTTCAGCAATTGATTGTTCCTATGTGTTTTGTGCCCACATTAAAAATAAGCTTATTTTTACTTATTTGATTAAGAATAGCACAAGGAAGAAGACTTTTGAGCAATTCTGTTTATACTACAATTTTCCAAGACACTTTCATTTCTCAATTTTCCTTCTTCAGTTTCTGTAATATTTGTTTATTTATTGTTTTTTTATCTATTAAATTTATTTGCCGCCCATCTCACCACAAGGGAACTCTGGGCAGCTTACAACAATAAAAGCAGTAAAACTATAACAATAAGAATACAAAATTATAATTAAAAGAATACATCTTTTATACAGATATTTTGATTATTTTGATATTATATTGCATTGTTAAATCAGTTATACTTTTTCTTCTGTTGGATCAGCTGGAATTTCCCAGATTCTGGGACAATAGGATACATTCTAAGCTCACCCGACAGTATTTTCCATATTTAACGTATGATTGGGACATGGTCAATTTTCACAAGTAAAAAAATTACCCTGTAGTTTCTGTTTCCTATCTTCAATTAAGCTTTGCTATAACTGGTTGCATTTCTCTCTCCTTGATATTCCTAATGCTTGTTCTCCTCTTGGTTCTTACTGCCATTTAGGCATCATCCTGTATTGTTCAAAAATTGAGTTCAGATTTGAAGAAGAGTGAATGAAATCTAAATCAAATGAACTTTCACAATTGGATCACTATCTTGAATAATGTAATTTATTGCTTCTTAATAGATCAGAAAATTTGGTGGCAGTATAGGCTTGTACAGAAAACCTGTAATCAAATTAAATCAATGATTTAAATTAGAATGATTAGAATGAAAACACAATTCAAATTCTAAAGAAGATAGTTTAAGCAAATATTAAAATATTGTAGAAACTATTCTGGGAAATGAAGGACAGAGTTCTGGACACTTCCTGAATGACCACTATTGGATATAACATTTGATCTTGCTGAATTTGATTTGGTTTAAAAAGCTGGAAGTGTGCTATATCTCAAAAATATTATTGTAACCTGAAACAGACGCAAAAGATTCACCAATATGAGTTCATTTAGGATTCGGTTTTTTATTTAGCATGACTAAATCAGAAGTAAAATTAAAAAAATAAAATATATATATAAAAAAACAAGAGGCTCTCCAGTAAAGCCCAGCTCCTGGTGTCTGGATTCATGCAATTTTCGTGGAAGTGTGACAGAAGCGATTTACCACTGCTTTCTTCTAGAAATTTTTTAAATTATTATTTCATAGTTCAGCCTGGTTACCAAGGGAGTGTCCCCTTCAAATAATATCAGGAAAAGCCCTGCAATAATTTCAGTTTCACCTTTGGCCAATTAATTAATCATAGTAAATCATCAATTGCCATTTTGTTTGTACTAAACACATCAAATATATGTTCCACTTATTACACCATCTTAAATATATGTTTCCACTGAGTATAAATATATATAATTTAGACTGCGTTCATTACTATCTCATCAGATAATCCCAAATGTATATTTTGCCAGATAGAACAAAACTGGACTTGCTTTAGTGTAATTATAGAGAGAGATAAGTACTAATAATTAGCTTTATATCTTTAGGGTAAGCTTTTCTTTTGAGTTCTGCTGAATAAAGGCCATAATAAACTTGATCTCATTTTTCCTTCTGGTTCTTCTTTCTGTTTTTCCATTTATGGCCCTCTATTTTAAAAGCTAATATAGTCCTCCCAAATCTTCTCCACAATCTTTTTCACAGCACATTTTCTATCTGCAGTTAGCACTTTTTGTTGTTATGTTCAGTACGCTTCCTGCTACAGTGGCGAAGAACTTTGGTTTCTATCTCAGTAACGAAAGATAGCTTACATTGGGGGAGCCCAGAAATACAGTCCAGACTAAATTCAAGACATTGACAAGATCAAGGGAAATAGATAAGACCAAGACAAAATAGCTGGGCTGTGCAATATTTTGAGTGAATAAGTGGAATTTTTGGCCTCTGGCCAAGATTACCCAAGTCCTTGCCAAAGATCCAGAAAAGAGCACAAGCTCAGCAGATAAGAAAGAATATAATAATAATAATAATAATAATAATAATAATAATAATAATAATAATAATAATAATAATAATAATAATATAAAATAAAATAATAATAATAAAGTTGGAAGGGACCTTGGAAGTCATCTAGTCCAACCCCCTGCCCAGGCAGGAAACCCTATACCATTTCAGACAAATGGCTGTCCAGTCTCTTCTTAAAAACTTCCAACGTTGGAGCATTCACCGCTTCTGGAGGCAGGTTGTTCCACTGGTTAATTGTTCTAACTGTCAGGAAGTTTCTCCTTAGTTCTAGGTTGCTTCTCTCCTTGATTAGTTTCCATCCATTGCTTCTTGTCCTGCCTTCAGGCGCTTTGGAGAATAGTTTGACTCCCTCTTCTTTGTGGCAGCCTCTGAGATATTGGAAGACTGCTATCATGTCCCCCCTCATCCTTTTCTTCATTAAACAAGACATACCCAATTCCAGCAACCATTCCTTATATGTTTTAGCCTCCATTCCCCTAATCATCTTTGTTGCTCTTCTCTGTACTCTTTGTAGAGTCGCAAAATCTTTTTTACATCGTTGTGACCAAAACTGGATGCAGTATTCCAGGTGTGGCCTTACCAAGGCATTGTAAAGATCCCAAAGGGAGGCTGATCTCTCTTGCTACATAATCTTCCTACTAATAATTAATCCATCATTACCACATTTTGATACTTTATCTGGGTATACATAGAAATCTTGGTATCAAAACAAAGGTGGAGTT